TATTTGAAAGTTAATATATTTATAAATAATTATATATAGTAATTAATAATTTTGTTATTTTATTTGATTTGTATATAATTTTTAATAAAATAAAATTTGAGTTTGCTAAAATACATAACCATACATTAATCAACTTATGATATTTAATTTAAATTAATTAATTTAAATTAATTAAGTTAAACTTAATAAATATTTAATATTTTGTGATTATAAAAAATCAATTTTATATTTAAAAATTGTAATATTATTAAATTTAATATTTGATAGTATAAACTTAATGTAATATATTTATTTTCATAAAAATTAAAATAAAAAATATGTGTTTAGAATTTTGGTAAGTATAATTTTTTTTTATGAAGTATTCTGATGTATCACCAACAAAGAGTATGTTGCTAAAAATGTGGTTGATACTATTTAGAGTAAACATTAGCAACAATGGGTAGGTTGCTGAAAATGTGGGTGGAAGTATAAAATAAATATCAGCAACATGGTTTTTTTTGGTAAAAGTTGAAAATCAACAACATAACTTGCTGAAAGTTAGGCAGAATTCCGGTGCTGGTTTCCAGCCATATTTCTCTCAATTTTTAGCAACATGAGCCACATTGCTGAAACCCTATCTTCAGCAACATGGCTTATGTTGCTGAAGAGGGTGAGAAAATTCACCCTTACTCTCACTGGATTCTGGTGAATATTTTCAGCAACATAAGCTATGTTGTTGATACTATATTTTCAGCAACATAAACTATGTTGTTGATACATCAGCAACAAGATTTTGGTTGGTGATGTATTACCCACTAAGCCTTCTCCAACAAAGCTTTTAGCAAGCAAACCCATGTTGCTGAAGGACTTGCAGCAACATGGGAACCACTTTCAGCAACATGCTTCCATGTTGCTGAAGCTAAGGATTTTAGTAGTGAATATCATTATCTAGTTGTGAAACTTTTTTTTGGCGGTTATTCCTTCATATTTATGTGAAGTATAAAAGTTTCTTTAAGGTTCACACAATAGATGATTCTTATATATATTTTTTTCACTATGCGTAAATGAAAGTGGACTTTAATTGGTTATTTACAACTAAAAAAACCACCCACCTTACATCTCTAGGTGTTAGGTGTAAAGAAACTACAAAAAGAAAAAAATGTAAACCTTACATATTGTGAATTGGGTAAATGTATTGATTTATTTTTGAATCTGGTCTTGTTGTAATCTTGAGACAAATAAATGCAATAGATTAAAACCAACTGGTATTTTTAGGTGTTGAAGCCAGTGTTTATCAACAAATAAAAGAAAAAGGTATTTAGGATTATGTGTTTCAATTGGATTGTAATAAAGTTTAAACTTATGTTATTTTATATGATTAAGACAATTAGTAGGTATATAATTGTGTTATGTTTTTTTGTACTAGTAGGATTTGATGAGAATGGACCGGTACTCCTTATACTTCAAATTAATAAAATTAACTTTAGTTGATAAAAAAAATTGTTTTTCTATAGGTTTAACTATTGAGTTGTGGCTATTGGATTTAAAAGTAGGTTTTAAGTTTGAGTTTTAAGATATGTTTTTAAGTTTTAGGTTTAAAAGTTGGTTTAATTATGGCAATTGGGTTTAAATGTAGGTTTTAAGGAAAGATTTTTAATTGGGTGTTAAAAATTATTATTAAATATTTTAAAGATATTTTAGTAATCCTAATTTTATAATTTAAAAACAAAGAAAGTGCATTACATTACATGGCATAGTAATTAATTAATTTATAGATAAAACTGGATATAGGCAAAACAAACGGCATTTATATATGTTGTTGAATGTAGGAGGGGTGGAAAGAACGAGCCATGTAGAAGGTGGAAAGGGTAGAAGAAACTATCCATGTTTATTAAGGTGGGAAAAGCTGAAGAAATAGCCAATGTTTTCAAAACCGAGCCGAAGGTCAAACCGATTTGACCTCTGGTTCTCAATTTAACCGGTTTAACTGTTCAAACCGCCGATTTGACCGCATGTGAATAAATATAATATGGTGTGATGATTTAACAAGGCAAGTGCAGTGGCTGGATTGGTTTGTTACTCACCCATCACAATGGAAACGTGTGTTTGAACCTAGTGCGTGTCAAAATGTTATTATCACATTTCTAAACCTTTCAAGTAACTTAATTTTTTAATTAATTTATATAAAAAATTATAAAGATTGATTTTAAATTAATTAATTAATCAATTAAAATCATTTATATAAATATCAATTTTTATAATTTTTTAT